TCAAAGGTAGATCACTTAGGGGCATGTTATATCGTAAGCGCAAGGCATCTCTAAATTCTTGCTTGTTGAGGGTTAGGCCTTGGTTGTCATAAGGAATAGTGTTTAACCAGGAACGTGCACCTTTATCTAAAATTGTACAATTGATCCCAAAGTCACGCATATCGTACTCAATAGATTGTTCTTCAAGAATATGGGTTGTTTTAATTCCCAGTGTTGCTTATTTTTTGTCCAGCTGCCGCGAAAGTTGAGTCAAAATTTACCGTCGCGAACGGCGTTTTCGGGAGTGTTTGAAAAATTCCATTTTTCTCCATAACAAAGCGTTATTTGATCAAACCAACTATACAGCGATTCTTAGGATACATTACCCTATCTAACTTGAAAGTATGAGCAAAATCGATTTTTCGAAGTTTGCCACGGATTTTAAATTTTGCTTGATCGTTACAGACAGTCCCTCTTAATTTCTCGTTTATCAGTTGTGTTTATAGTGACGAACCGACACGAAAATTGCAAACAGGATCGAAATAACAATAGAGAGAGAGAATGGTAGACGCAACAAAAACGAAAACAGATTCTTATTGGATTACTTGTGTGGAACCAAAAGATAGAGGACAGGGAAATTGAAAAATGCAAATAAACTGATCCACTATTGGCTGTTTTAAAGGCCGTTTTGTGTTTATAGATTTGATTGAAAAACAAATATTCAACAACTATGAGCAATAAGCAATCTCACCTAGACCAAACCAGGGAAAGCAAGATTTTCGAACTTGAAACTTTAAAAGAAATTGAAGGAAAGTTTTTACAATCAGTTTTGTTTGTCTCAAACCGAAATCTAACCACAGAAGCCTTACACCAGTTGCATGAAATTGCGGCAAATTTTCTTAAGATAAAGAGAGAAATCATACAAGCACTTAAGGCGATGGACTCATTAGAAAAAGAACTGGAAAAATAGTTTCAATTCTCTATAAACATGAAACGGGTCTTTGAGAGCCACAACTTGCATTAAAGGCTAGACCATATGCTTGGTTTTTGTTGTGATATTTTATTATAATTGTTTTTTCACTGTTGTCAGTCATGACTAATCCCTCGGTATGGCTTTTATATTTTTGATTGGTGGCAAAACAGAAGCATGTTTTCTATCATACGCTTTCTACATTGTAGTAAACGTCAAAAAACAATAAGACTTTCAATCACTTTCTTTCTATATGTTTTGGTTTAAATTTTCAGTGCCCTGATGCTCTTTCTTCACGACGGATGATGTCTGGAATTACTTTCTGCAAATGGCCGATATACTTCTTGCAGGTGACTTGATTATGACTTCGACCATTTGGCTCAATATTTGACTTGACATTTTAAATTTATATTGATATTGATACAAAACACATATTCACAAGACCCGACTGGCGTCTAGGTCAAGTTTTTCTCTGCCAAAAATTCGCACAAACTACGGCAATTTTAACAAAATTTTCAGGTGTCCAAATATGGAACAATATAAGTGAGTCGATTAAAAAAATTTAAAAACAAAAATTTAAAGATCATTTATGTACCCCAAATTTTAAACTCATATTCGGACTAAACAAGTTAGCCCAAATAAGAAAAAATACGTTCAATACTTTCATTACTTCATTAATTCTTTCTTTTATCTCTTTCTTCTTATTCTTTGATCATATTTTCTATAAAATCTTTAAATTATTAATTACACGTTTATAAATGAATTATCCTTATGTATCTACACATACCATGTAAATAGAAAAATGTATCATCTACCTAATTGCTTTTACAATTTAAATCTATGTACTAAGTAGCTACCTATCTAGTCTAACTTTTAAGTTATCATAGGTACCTTGTATGTCATATTTCTCACAAATGTAAATATTTAAATATTGTGTTACATTAATAAGTACTGAATAAAATATTGATTGATTGATTGATTGATTGATTGATTGAGACACAGAAGCACATCGATACTACATATCAAATTTCATGGAGAAATATATAAGACCCCTTCTTCAAGTTGCGATATCAGTTTGTGCTGTACAGTATACGACGTATCAATTTCTATTTGGCTCCTTCTGTTTCTAAGCTTGCTTCTGACGCTAATTCTGATTTAATTTCTATCAAAAAGCAGTCTGGTTATAATCTTAGGTCCAATAATGAGCTTTTATTAGCACCTCCACCGACTAAACTTTCACCTACTCTTGGTGGTAGGACTTTTTCATACGCTGCGCCAGTAGAATGGAACACTTTACCATCTAGTATTAGGCATATTACATCATTACCTTCTTTTAAAGAACACTTAAAGACATATTTTTATAGAAAAGCCTTTATTTAGTTGTTTTTGCAATTCCCATTGATTAACTTAGCTTTTATGTTTCTAGTTATTGTGTATTGTTTCTGTATTCAGCACAGATGAACATCTTGTGCTAATCTGCGCTTTATAAATGTAATTTATTATTTTATTATTTAACGATATGGCGAGTCAAGCATCTAGTTCTGACGASGTAAGCGACATGTTCTCTTCATTCTAATTTGAAGTCAAGTATATTTTCGCTACAAATTTCTGTCCGACCTCATTATCTTATTTTTACTGCTTTATGGTTTTTTTTTAATAGGCAACCTCTCCAAGGTTCTACGCGAAGAATGGCATTACGATGATGTCGGCGTTTTCTGATGTACCAAATTTCGAATTTGGGGACCTCTCTTTAAACAATTACACTGTCATTTATTGATATTGCACTGTACATTATTTATTCCTCTTTATCGGCATCAGGTATCAGAATATTGTGTAATTCTCTTGTTAGGTTTTCTACTGTTACTAGACTGTGGGATGCGTGATTGTGAATTAGACAATGAATGTGTTAAAATAATGTGACATGTTCCCTTGTACCAATATAACACACCTAGAACTACAAGGTAATAAGATAACAGATGTTGGTGTTGAAATAATGTGACATATTGCCTTGTACTAATATAACTCATCTAGACCTAAGTGGTAATAATATGACAGATATTTATGTTCAGTGTCAGATAGTTGCAGATCGTTCTCAATTTATTGCTATAAATGATTGCTCTTCAAAAATCTTTGATTTAGACTGTGGAGTACCCCAGGGCTCGACACTAACGGTAGTCTGCTAGTCCCAGACTAGTGATATCTTGCTTCGCACTAGTAAAAATAAAATTTACTTGCCTGGTGGACTAGTAGAAGAGGTAAAACTAATGTCCCTTTTGCCGACTTCTTATGTTTACCGAATTTTTCATTGCTGATAAAATGAAAAAAAAAAAAGTTACCAGAATCGTAGAATCGTTTGCTGCTATCTTGAAAGTTAAGTGGGAGTCTGGAACCAAGTCTCACTTTAATGTTATTCACGTTGCGGCCACCATCTTTAAAAGAAAAGTTTCAATTTTATTTCAAATGGATATAAGCAAGTATTTTTCTATAACAAGAAAAAGAGAAAAGTCTCCAGAAACAACTGAATCAGAGCCTGGTAGCAGTCAGCAAAGTGGTCAGCAAAGCAAAAAGGGGAAAGGTGAAGTGCAACATGTTAGAACATTACAAAGCAGTTGGAAAAACGATTATTCGTGGATGACCTTTGAAAATGGAAAAATGTATTTCTCTTTCTGTGTAGAAATGTGCAGACAGGAAAAGGCAAAGTCAACAAGAACTTCTGCATCAGCTTTTGTTAGTGCAACGACCAATGTCAGGCTGGAATCATTAAAAAGCGTGATGTTTCAGTCAGCCATAAAAACGCTACAAAAGCTCATTTAATCCTGAATCCTCAACAAGCTCCCCTTCCCCGAGYGCACTTGCTAATGTTTCAGAAGAAATAAGATTTAAAATTACGTACATGCAATTTCGCGTGGGAACCTGGTGCCTAGTTAAGTCTTGGGGGGACAGAGAACGAGCATAGTGCTCGCGATCTGGTCACAATTTGTTTGCACCTTTCTTTATTGTTGCTCGCGATTTGATAAAAGTTCCATTGTTTGTGAATTGATCGTTTAGCTTGGCGACGCTACTGAGAAACTCCATCCGAAAAACATTCTTTCCAGTAACATTTCTCAGTAAAATTGACTACTTTCAGCCAACAAGATGCCCACCAAGATACCATCATAATCTTTATTTCTCTTTCATTTTCGTTAAATGTGGGRAAAAAATTCAATCTGCCTTCTCAAGCAACCTCTTGGATTTGTTTACACGATATATTAAATGTTTCGCATATCAGAATATGTGAAACTGTGAATTTTAATTTGTTCAAGAAACGGATACGAGTGGCTGATACAGTGTGTCAGTTCCATGAAGAGGAAGACATTAGGATACATAGGAAAACAGTAAGCAAACTTTAAAAGAAATTTCGCACTGGCCAGTATAGCCAAACAGAGGTTGACCATCTTCACTGACCCAAGTACATTTCGATTTTATCAATCGAAAATTAGAAGGAAATGATGAACTAACTTCCGCTGGTACATAAATATTTTCTTAAATTTCATTTCATGCACATATTTCTATATGAACAAATCGTTTTACCTTTTATTAGGACTGCAGCATCTGTTCAATGAAGAGTTCCACTTCACCCCATCCAAAGCTACCAAGAGGATTCGTTTCAAGCTTGCCTGGCGTAAGACAGGGCCTAGATACTGTCAGGTTGTCTGGGAAACGGAACTGTGCGCACGAAATAAGGAAAACTATGACAACGTCATCTTTACCGATGAGAGCAGCATCTGTCTTGAGCGCCACAGGCAAATATGCTTTAGCAAGAGAGGAATGCCGCCTAAGTTAAAGCCCAAGGCCAAACACCCTTATTAAGTTCATGTTTGGGCTGGGATATCAAAGGAAGGGGATACCAAGATGGTTATCTTCACCGGGATCATGAAGTCAGATTTTTACGGCGATTCTTAAAGACACACTGGTACCTTTCGGCACACACAGATTCCCTAATAGCTACAGATTTCAGCAGGATAATGACCCAAAACACAAAAGTAGGTAATAATGATCATTATATTTTCCTGGTGAGGTTTGTTCTAGAAACAAAAACTTAGTTTTTAAACCATTGTCTTCTTTCTGTTAAAGGTTGCCTTACTATGCAGTTTATAAAGGCCAACTATATTAATTACTGGCTGACACCCACTGAAAGTCCTGACCTCAATCCCATTGAAATGCTTTGGCATGAGCTAAAATGTCACCTAAGACGCCTGGTCAGGCCAAAAGTAAAGGACGAGCTGTTCGACGCCATTAAGCAGTTCTTGAAAACTATTCAAATGTTCAATTTGATTGCTTCTTTTTGATCTGTAATAAGTTTTCCATAAAGACATGTTTTAAATCTAGACAGTGACCCGCTCTCTCTGATTTGGATATTAAGTGAGTTCCATTCAATGATCGTTATTATAGTGTAAGTTCTCCTTTTCCTTTTATGCGACATATAAAGTTTAGATTAGAAAATCTTGTAACTCGATCATGGTAGCAGCTCATCCATGTATTCCGGAGTTTTATGCTCATTACTAATACGCTTATATGCTTTCTTTGCTTAATTAAGACACTTACAAACTTTAGTACAGTACATTTCTACATCTATTTGTATGTGGGGCCTTCATATCCTGTCTCGTACCAGGTGAAGCACTCGATTAGTACCAAGATGACCCTTATCATCATGTAGCTGTTGGAGGACTGTTTTATGATACTTCTTTGGTAGTACAATTTGTAATGTCTCACCTTGTTTACGTTTCAATATGTTATTACTATCAAATGTGAGTTTACTCCAATGACGCATTAACTGTCTGGTGGTAGCTGTTTCTCCTCTCCTTTCCTGTTTAGCAGGGTATCTGCCCCTCATCTTGCATTCAATGATTCTATTAAAGTGCACCTACACCCTATTTTTTTAATATTCTTAACTGTTTGTACGGAACTTTTTAAAATGTTTTGTGGTATTTCGGTCACATTTGAAAAAAAAATTGAATGCGAAAAATTGTTTTAAAAATACGAAATGCGTGGTCCATTACCGCAGAATCAAAGCGGGAGTCTGGGTCCGAGTGTGACGTCACCCCAGGCCATGACTTGTTGCTTGGTGCACGAAAGTTAGTAAACAGATCGAGTACTTTTGAAACACAAGAGATTTTTGAAGACAAATTCGTGAAGATGGACTCTGATAACTCTGATCTAGAG